AACCCGTGATGTAGAACTTGCACAGCTCATGGGCAGGTTTAGCCCAGGTGTAACCCAGGTGTAACCCAGGTGTAACCCAGGTTTTAGGGCAGGTTTAGGGCAGGTTCAGGGCAGGTTTAACCCAGGTTTAACCCAGGTTTAGTTTAGGATATCGTGCATGTAAGGACAGCTCTCGGCGCGGGCGCAGTAACCCGTGATGTAGAACTTGCACAGTTCGCGCTTCTTGGGCAGCTCGATGTCGTGGCTGAAGTTACAGTGATCGCCCTGCACAGGTGAGACACAGGTGAGACACAGGTGAGACACGTGAGATGGGACAGGTGAGACAGCTGAGACAGGTGGGACAGGTGAGATGGGACAGGTGAGACAGCTGAGACAGGTGGGACAGGTGAGATGGGACAGGTGAGACAGCTGAGACAGGTGGGACAGGTGAGACAAGTGAGATGGGACAGGTGAGACAGGTGAGACACAGATGAGACACGTGAGATGGGACAGGTGAGACAAGTGAGACAAGTGAGATGGGACAGCTGAGACAGGTGAGACAGGTGAAACAGGTGAGAGGTGAAATGGGACAGGTGAGACAGGACAGGTGAGACAGGTGAAACAGGTGAGATGGGACAGGTGAGATAGGAGAGGTGGGACAAGTCAGATGGGAGAGGTGGGACAGATGAGATGAGACAGGTGAGATGGGACAGGTGAGATGGGACAGGTGAGATGGGACAAGTCAGATGGGACAGGTGGGACAAGTGAGACAGGTGGGACAGGTGAGATAAGTGAGATAGAACAGGTGAGAGAGGTGAAATGGGACAGGTAAGACAGAAAAACTGAGATGAGACAGGTGGGACAAATGGGACAGGTGAGACAGGTGAGATATGGACAAGTGGGACAGGTGAGATGGGACAGGTGAAACAGGTGAGATGGGAAAGGTGAGACGGGTGGGAAAAGTGGGATAGAGATGGAACAGGTGGGATTTGGGTGGGCCAGGTGTGACCCAGGTGTGACCCCCACCTGTCCCGGCCGGAATTTTGGGATTTTTGGGAATATCTTGGCCGGATTTTGGGGATTTTTGGGAATATTTTGGCTGGAATTTTGGGAATTTTTTTGGGGAATTCCTTACCCAGGTGCACCTGCCCTCCACGAAGTATTTGCAGATCACCTTGCCCTTCTTGTCCGAGGGCAGGTGAGGTTTGTCGTGCTCGCCCCGCCGGTAACCGCCCCCATCCTGAGGGGAAAAATCCGGGAAAAATCTGGGAATTCTGGGGGGAGGGGAGAGCAAAAATCCCGGGAAAAATCGGGGAAAATGTGGGGGAATTACAGGAAAAAAACCCGGGAAAAATCTGGGAATTTGGGGGGAAAAAATCTGGGAAAATGATGGGAAAAATCCAGGAAAATGCTCGGGGAAAAATCTTGGAATTTGGGGGGAAAAATCCGGGAATTTTGGGGGGGGAAAAATGGGAAAATTCCAGAAGAAAAGGGGTTGGGGGGGGGGGGGTGGTGAGAACAAAAATCCCGGGAAAAATCCGGGAAAATTCAGGAATTTGGGGAATTCTGGGCAGGATTTTTGGGAATTCCGTTGGGATTTTTTTGGGGAATTCTGTTGGGATTTTTTGGGGAATTCCAGGGGGATTTTGCCCTTTCAGAGCAAAATTTTTGGGAATTCTGAACAGGATTTTTGGGAATTTGGAGCAGGATTTTTGGGAATTCTTGATGGGATTTTTGGGAATTTGGAGCAGGATTTTTGGGAGTTCTGGGTGGGATTTTTGGGAATTTGGAGCAGGATTTTTGGGAACTCTGGGCGGGATTTTTGGGAATTCTGGGTGGGATTTTTTCGACTTTCAGAGCAGAATTTTTGGGCTTTCAGAGCAATTTTTGGGAATTCCCTTGGGATTTTTCGGGAATTCTGTTGGGATTTTTGGGAATTCCCTTGGGATTTTCGGGAATTCTGTTGGGATTTTTGGGAATTCCCTTGGGATTTTTCAGGAATCCTGTCGGGATTTCTGGGATTTCCATTGGGATTTCTAAGAATTCCATTGGGATTTTTGGGAAATCCATCGGGATTTTTGGTTATTCAATTGAGATTTTTGGGAATTCTGCTGGGATTTTTGAGTTATTCTGTCAGGATTTCTGGTTATTCCATTGGGATTTTCAGGCATTCAACTGGGATTTCTGGGAATTCTGCTGGGATTTCTGGGAATTCAATTGGGATTTCTGGGAATTCTGCTGGGATTTCTGGGAATTCAATTGGGATTTCTGGGAATTCAATTGGGATTTTTGGGAATTCTGCTGGGATTTTTGGGTTATTCTGTCAGGATTTCTGGTCACTCTGTCGGGATTTTCACGAATTCTGTTGGGATTTCTGGGAATTCTGTCAGGATTTCTGGGAATTCTGTCGGGATTTTTGGGAATTCTGTCGGGATTTCTGGGAATTCCGTTGTGATTTCTGGGAATTCGGGGATGATTTCCCCATCCTCTCACCCCCATGTCGTCGTCGTAGAATTCGTCGTCGTCGTTGATCCCGGATTTCCCCATCGAGCTCCGGCCCCGGCCCCGGCCCCGGCCCAGCCCTTTGTTCCCACGGCCCCGGGGACCCCGAGGACCCCGGCCCCGGCTCAGCCCTAAAATGGAAATTTGGGAATTTTGGGAATTTTGGGATGTGGGAATTCCCCGGCCCAGCCCTTTGTTCCCACGGCCCCGGGGACCCCGAGGACCCCGGCCCCGGCTCAGCCCTGGAATGGAAATTTGGGAATTTTGGGATTTGCCACATCCAGGGTCACCCCAGCCCCGGCTCAGCCCTGGAATGGAAATTTGGGAATTTGGGAATTTTAGGATTTGGGAATTCCCACATCCAGGGTCGCCCCAGGCCCAGCTCAGCCCTGGAATGGGAAATTTGGGAATTTGGGGATTTTGGGATTTGGGAATTCCCACATCCAGGGTCACCCCAGCCCCGGTTCAGCCCTGGAATGGAAATTTTAAAATTTGGGGATTTTCGGGATTTGGGAATTCCCACATCCAGGGTCACCCCAGTCCTGACCCCGGCTCAGCCCTGGAATTAAAATTTGGGAATTTGGGAATTTTGGGATTTGGGAATTCCCACATCCAGGGTCACCCCAGCCCCAGTTCAGCCCTGTAAGAGAAATTTAGGAATTTGGGAATTTGGGGATTTGGGATTTGGATTGGGGACTGGGGAATGGGAATTGGGATTTAGATGGGATTTGGGATGGCATTTGGAACAGGATTTGGGATTGAAATGTGGGATTTGGGATTTGGGAATTCCCAGGAATTCCGGGCTCACCCTGGCCCTGCTCTGGGGATTTGGGACAGAATTTAGGATTAAGAATTGAACCAGGATTTAGGATGGGATTTGGGATTTGGAATGGGGATTTGGGGTGGGATTTGGGATTGAAATGTGGGATTTGGGGCTGGGAATTCCGGGCTCACCCTGGCCCTGCTCCAGGGATTTGGGCTGGGATTTGGGATTGAAATTTGGGATTTGGAATGGGGATTTGGAATGGGGATTTGGGATTGGGAATGGGGATTTGGGACAGGATTTGGGGTGGGATATGGGCTAGAAAAGTGGGGTTTGGGGCTGGGAATTCCCAGGAATTCCGGGCTCACCCCGGCCCCTGTCCTTGCTGCGCCGGTACTGAGACAATTCCTTGGCGTAATCGTCAAAGTCGTCGTCGCCCAGAGGCTCCTCGGGGTCACAGTACTGGGAAAAAAAAACCAAAAAATGGGAATTCCGGGGGAATTCCATGGGAATTCCATGGGAATTCTGGGGGTGGGGATCCCAGGATGGCGTGGGAAGCTCGGGAATGGGGAGGGAATGCTGGGATTGGGATGGGGTCAGAAACCTGGGAAAAGGGGATGGAATTCCCTCAGGAATCTCCTGGTGGAACATTCTGGAATTCTCAGTGGAATTCCCCATGGAACATTCCAGAATTCCCCATGGAACATTCCAGACCTCCCCGTGGAACGTTCCAGAATTCCCATTGATTTTCCCCATGGAACATTCCCGTGGATTTTCCCCATGGAACATTCCAGAATTCCCATGGAACATTCCCATTGATTTCCCATGGAACATTCCCATGGATTTTCCAATGGAACATTCCAGAACTCCCATGGAACATTCCAGAACTCCCCATGGAACATTCCCATTGATTTCCCCATGGAACATTCCAGTGGATTTCCCCCTGGAACATTCCAGTGGATTTTCCAATGGAACATTCCAGAATTCCCATTGATTTTCCCCATGGAACATTCCAGAATTCCCCTGGAACATTCCAGAACATTCCAGCCTCACCTCCATCTCCTCCTCCGGGGGCTCCTCCTCCTCCTCGGGGTCACTTCGGGCTCGGCCCCGGCCCCGGCCCAGCCCCCGCCCCCGGGAACAGCCCCGGCCCCGGCCCCGGAAACCCCGGCCACGGCCACGGCCTGGGAAAAATGGGAAAAACAATGGGAAAAATAGGTGAGAAATGGGGAAAAATGGGGAAAAATGGGGAAAATGGGACATCAGGAACGGCCCCGGCCCCGGAAACCCCGGCCACGGCCACGGCCTGGGAAAAACAACGGGAAAAACAATGGGAAAAATGGGTGAGAAATGGGGAAAAATGGGGAAAAATGGGGAAAATGGGACATCAGGAACGGCCCCGGCCCCGGAAACCCCGGGCACGGCCACGGCCTGGGAAAAATGGGAAAAACAATGGGAAAAATGGGTGAGAAATGGGGAAAAATGGGAAAAATGGGGAAAATGGGTGAGAAATGGGTGAGAAATGGGGAAAAATGGGAAAAATGGGAAAAATGGGACATCAGGAACAGCCCCGGCCCCGGAAACCCCGGGCACGGCCACGGCCTGGGAAAAACAACGGGAAAAACAATGGGAAAAATGGGGGAAAAATGGGAAAAATGGGTGAGAAATGAGATAAAAATGGGGAAAAATGGGGAAAATGGGTGAGAAATGGGGAAAAATGGGAAAAATGGGTGAGAAATGAGACAAAAATGGGAAAAATGGGGAAAATGGGGGAAAAATGGGTGAGAAATGGGGAGAAATGGGGGAAAAATGGGTGAGAAATGGGGAAAAATGGGTGAGAAATGGGTGAGAAATGGGGAAAAATGGGTGAGAAATGGGGAGAAATGAGACAAAAATGGGTGAGAAATGGGGAAAATGGGAAAAATGGGTGAGAAATAAGATAAAAATGGGGAAAAAATGGGGGAAATGGGTGAGAAATGGGGAAAATGGGTGAGAAATGGGGAGAAATGGGTGAGAAATGAGATAAAAATGGGTGAGAAATGAGGAAAAATGGGGAAAAATGGGTGAGAAATGGGGAAAATGGGGAAAAATGGGTGAGAAATGGGGAAAAATGGGATAAAAATGGGGAAAATGGGGGAAAATGGGTGAGAAATGAGATAAAAATGGGTAAAAAAACGGGGAAAAATGGGTGAGAAATGGGGAAATAAATGGGGAAAATGGGTGAGAAATGGGGAAAAATGGGGAAAAATGGGGAAAAAATTGGGAAAAATGGGGGAAAAATGGGGGGAAAAATGGGATAAAAATGGGGAAAATGGGACATTTGGAACAGCCCCGGCCCTGGAACCGAAATCCCCAAAAATGGGATAAGAATTGGGATTAAAAAACGGGAAAAATGGAAATGGAGCCTCAGTTTTTTGGGATTTTTGTGCTCTCCCAGTTCTCCCAGTTTGCCCAGTACCTCTGGCCCAGTGGGATCCATTCTGGACTGGCTGAGCTCCTTGGCAAAGTCCATTTGGGGCATTTTTAGGGCTTTTTTTTAGGATTTTTGGGGGATTTTTTGGGATTTTTTGGGGATTTTTGTGCTCTCCCAGTTCTCCCAGTTTGCCCAGTATCTGTGGCCCGGTGGGATCCACCCTGGACTGGCTGAGCTCCTTGGCAAAGTCCATTTGGGGCATTTTTAGGGCTTTTTTTAGGGTTTTTTGGGTATTTCTGGGGATTTTTTTGGGTTTTTTTGGGATTTTTGTGCTCTCCCAGTTCTCCCAGTACCTCTGGCCCAGTGGGATCCATTCTGGACTGGCTGAGCTCCTTGGCAAAGTCCATTTGGGGCATTTTTAGGGCTTTTTTAGGGCTTTTTTTTAGGATTTTTGGGTGTTTTTGGGGGTTTTTTTGGGATTTTTGTGCTCTCCCAGTTCTCCCAGTTTGCCCAGTACCTCTGGCCCAGTGGGATCCACCCTGGACTGGCTGAGCTCCTTGGCAAAGTCGCATTTGGGACATTTTTAGGGCTTTTTTTTAGGATTTTTTGGGTATTTTTTAGGATTTTTTTGGGATTTTTTTTGGGTTTTTTTGGGGATTTTTGTGCTCTCCCAGTTCTCCCAGTTTGCCCAGTACCTCTGGCCCGGTGGGACCCGTCCTTGGAGCGCCTGTACTGGCTGAGCTCCTTGGCAAAGTCGTCGTAGCCTTCCCTGGGCCCCTCCTCATCCTCTTCGGCCTCGAAGGGCCCGAAATCCTCGGGCTCGAAATCCTCGAAGGAGCCCCCGAAGGCTTTGGGGTCCCCCTTGGGGTGGGGCTTGCGGGGTAACTGGGAATACTGGTGGGACTGGGAATGGAATGGGAGGGGTTAGGGCGGGACTGGGAGCACTGGGAATGTTGGGGAAGGGATTCCCAGTGTTCCCAGTATTCCCAGTATTCCCAGGATTCCCAAGATTTCATTCCCAGTATACCCAGTATCCCCAGGATTCCCAGGATTTCATTCCCAGTGTTCCCAGTGTTCCCAGGATTTCCAGGATTTCATTCCCAGTATTCCCAGGATTCCCAGGATTTCACTCCCAGTATACCCAGTACTCCCAGTATTGTCCATATTATCAGGATTCCATTCCCACTATTCCCAGTATTCCCAGATTTCATTCCCAGTATTCCCAGTATTCCCAGTATAACTCACAGTGTATCCAGGGCTGTATTCCCAGTGCTCCCAGTATTCCCAGTATTCCCAGTGTTCCCAGTATAACTCACAGTGTATCCAGGGCTGTATTCCCGGTATT